ACGTATTTTCGCCTTTGAAGAGTTGGCGTTGCTTCGCATCCGTTTGCGTTTCGGGATTCCTGTCCCGACGATGAACGGATGCAAAGGAGACTACTTCTGTAGGCACAAGCAACAAAAATCAAACTTGAATTTTTCAAATTATTGCTTTCTTATTATATGTTGAAAATGTACTCAAAACTATGCAGTTTTGTGTTAATTCAATATTTGAAAAATTTATATCAGTCAGTGAACGTAACTGTGATATTATATGTACATGTACTTTCCTTTCTAGAGGTGACTTTGCTATTAATAGTATTTAATGGTCAGATGATGATGTTAATGAGGTCGATCGACGACAAAATATTAATTAACTCCATTGTATTATATTTCATGAAGTAAATAAATAAATTACATGCATATATACATGCATGCATGGATGCATGAGTGAGCCTGGACAATAATCCAAGCAAATGTCACCCGATGTATGGCAATAAGTTCCATATGCTTTGCGCCACTATAAAAGGGTGAACAGTCCCGGATGTTCTTTCTCCCTTTTGTCTACATTAGCTTGTGTTCTTGAGGCGAGTCGAGTTTTGTTGTGTTATTTTGATTTTTCTTGCTGTTTTTATTATTCAGAGCACTAATTCAAACAAGTATTAACCTCGAGTTCATATTTTCTGTTTCAGTTTTATCATTATTCCGTTTATTTCTCGATCGTCTCTTGACAAAGATTGTGGTCTAAAGAGTTCTCGACAGTGAGTGCATCAAGGGCGCTAGATCACTGAAATTATGACCTATAAGGTCGAGATGTCGCTTAATTTATCCAACCTATGATAGTCGATAGTAAATAAAGTTTTACTTATTATCTGAAATGCATCCTGAATCTGTCGTCTTAGCCGCTAAAAGGCCTTTGATTTTACGAAACTCATTCAAATGATCGTTACTMARACKGTAKGGTTGCTGATKTTTGCGGTCTGGCCAGGAATAGCCTGCGTTACATCCGGTTTTATTTGCCACATAAAACCAGATGTAAGTATATTCATCATTAAAATCACTTTGCGATGACTTTTATTTGAATCAAATGTAGTTCTTGAACCAAATATGATTGCCGTCTGTGCCAAGAGTGGTTTTTATTGATTTTTATGGTATAAAAAATTTGAATCTGACACTTAATTTTTTGTAATAAATGATTTTGAATTATACTGAAAACGTCTGTTTTTTCCCCTTGTCTATTTATAAAAGACGTTGCAATAAGGGTTCACAACAGAATAGCATTCGGGACAAGATTTTCCATGTGGGAGTAATACAAATGCATCAAAACCGCCTATACTAAAGTGAAGTTATGCAACACATCAAACGCCGATCACACGGTGGCAATTAAGCTACCGGGCAGCACTTTCATACCTTTTAGGTAAACTAGTTTATAAAAAATATTATTTAAATTCAAAAACTGACAACTTCGGTTTAGCAACAAAGCCGGACTTCAGTTCTAAGCTCATTTCAAGTAATTTCAAACAATTAAAACGAGTTTTTTCTAACCTCTAAATCTGACGAAATAAAAACACGGACTAAAGTAGCTAGGACTTATTATTTTATCAAACAGTTTTTCAACCTTTTGGCCGTCCACGAGCGACAGGAATCAAAGCAACTCGCCTCTCCCATAATTTCCTTATCGATTTATCTACGAAATTAATTTATCCGCTTGCCGACAAATATGGTCTAAAAAACAATTCCTTTTATCGATACTTGAAAATTGTACTTTCTTATACAATGAATGTGCAAAAAAGAAGAATCTTTGAGAGTTTCATCTCTATAATCGAAATTCTAGAGATGAAATTGACGAACGGGTCAAAGTTTCCCGCCATTGATCTTCACTCGGCCAAAACCAAAAAGAAGTGATGACGTCACATAAAAACGATGATATAGTCTGAAACGCAATGCATTGTGGGCTATTACTGTTCCCTCCTCTGCCTTGCAGCCAAAGCATAAATTCTTGAACATGTCTTGAAGTAAACTTTGTAATTTCATTTGACCAGGTTAAAATAATGTATCAATCCAATTGAAACTTAACAACAATGTTGCCAATATAGCCATGAAATAACTCAGTCAAGAAGAAGAAAAATCTTCGACACCATTTTTGAATCGATTGGAAAAACGCTAAATCCACAATTTTTCAGAGTAGCTACATACACTAGGGTGTACTTGAAAAAATCACATCTTCAAAACTACCAAGAGAAATAACTTTATCTTGCACAGAATTATCTTATCTCTGGGCCAATTGTGAGCGTGTTCGTAAAAGTACAAAAACGCAACACATACATGTTTAATGGTGGGAACTAGCGGTAAACTAGTGTGAGCTGCGTCGGTGTTTGTAAAGAAACAGTTGTGTAAAAAGATAAATTTAACACCGTAAAAAAAATATGTGAAATAACTTACTGACGTTTCGGACGTCAATCCTTCGTCGGACGAAGGACGAAGGATTAACGTCCGAAATGTCAGTAAGTTAATTCACATACTTTTTTTAAGGTGTTAAATTTATCTTTTTACACAACATACATGTTTAATCATTTTTCTCAAAATCGGCTAGAAGAATTGGTCTTGGTTTTGAGATATATTATTAGCAATATCCTACACAGTTAAACGCAGTACTTCTGGTTTTTCTAGGTGCCATCGAAATCGGCCGGAAATCAGCTTTCTTTTAATGTTTTTTTTTCTATCATAAAGCTGCTATTTTAGCAGTACATTAAAAATAAATGCATATTTTAAAATTTTCCAACTAAGTGCAACATTGCCCGTTTATTTTACGAAAATCGAGTTAGATTAAGTTGGTCAAACGGCCGTTTAAAAATGTTCGGTATGTGGAAGTGCGAACCACTATGAAACACCTTGTGAAGTGGCGAAGCGGCTACGAAGTCAAAATTCAAGTATCGATCTCCCTTAAACAATGGTAATATTTGATCTGAACTGAACCGGCGAACAAGTCAGCACTGGAGCGCCACGACGCCATGTTGTGACGCAGAGAGGTGTCCAAAATTCACTACCTTTCAGAAGTGTTGAATGACTTTAAGGACGCTTTTTGCTAATCGTCGAATTCTTATCTCTATATTGTTAATTTTTGTTCTAACAACAAATCGCCGAGAATCATATTGCTGAACAAAGAACTTCAGTGAAGTCAATTTTTAGTCTATCGCCCTTAGATTAAGCTAGCTAGGCCCTCTCCCAAATATGCAACCACAAAAACCCGTCATTCAAGATCTTTCAAAAACAAACCTGCACAATAAGCTGCTGGGCATCCACGAATTCTTTTAAGCTTGTAGACATAAAAACCACCACAGTTTTTGACAGAAATCGACTCTCGCAAGAAACACCCATTCAGCATATTTCGAATATTTATACAAGCCTTCACTTCTTTTTCTTGGCCTTTCGTTGTTGGGTGAGTATCCCTGATCCAGATAGGTGCAACAGTCCCACAATGGTTAGGTGAGGGTTTTGTTTCCGGCATCATTCCACCAACAATGCTCTTGAATCTATACCACCCAGTCGTAAGTTTGTCGTCGCATATGGCTGCAAATCCTGGCTGCAACTGATRCTTAGTACTGCGGTAGACATCGTTTATAACTTTGTGGTTAGTRCAGGGGTCTATTGCATGACAATATATCGTCCTGAAAAGTATAAATGCTGTAAAAACAGCTCTTTTGAACTTTGCCATCTTTGGACCACGGGACAAATGACACTTCAGTGGTTGAACAGTCAACATATACATCATAACGATTCATATCAGTGATTATGCTAATGAGAAGTATAAGGAAGTTGATTGACTTTTAACCCCTCTTAAGCAAAATTTTCGTTCCCAGAAGAGAGAATTACAATTGAAGCATAAACATTACATGGTTCAAAGCTTTGGCGAAATCAATGACTTGAAGTGTTGCGTTGCTTATTTCACTTTTTAAAATATGAGCTGTTGTTATATCTCCACAAAAAATTGAGCATTTGATTTTCTTCAGCTTGGCTTGCGAAAATGTCACTATCGCTGTTTTTTTAGTGTGTCGAAAGAGGTGTTTTTAAAAACGAAAACAGTTTAACATATAGCATGAAGTAAGACGAGTGATAATCCAAGGATGGAAAGCATACTGTGCAAATTCAACTTTTGAATTATGTACAGGATCGTAATAACAGCTATATTTCGATTTTATTACAAAATCATAATCATGCTAAAAGTTACAAGTGGTCATGGAGCTTATATACACGAGCTAGAACAATT